CCGGCTGAACCCGCACGAGGACATCCAAGCATCATTTTTACATGGATCCTGCAATTCCTATTTCAGATTTACCCTATTTATTCATTCAATCATTCTCCCTGCGTCGGATGGACAGACGCCGTGCTGTCCGGCCATGAGGAGGACAGACCGAAAAGCTTCGGACCAGACCGGACTTGGAATTTCGAGAGAGGTACCGCCAGGTTCGATTCCTGAGGCACATCACGATGGGTGATCAAAATCAAGTTGAGCCTTTGTGCTTTTTTCACTTTCCCATGCTCGCCCCTACCGTTACCCCGGCCAATGATGGCTTGGCTACGCAGGTCGGGATCACACTTGGTGTCGCCAGTCCGCACCCTCGGGTTGACGGATGCGAGGGGGGTTTGCCGTTCCCCAAGATATGGATGCTGGGACGCACCACCTCCCCGGGGAATCGACACCCGCATTGCTTCCGTCTGCTACGCTGCATAGGGTTGGACGAACGCATGATTGGGACTCGATGCTCGGAGAATTTGTGACCAGAAGATTGACCAGTGGCTGTCGGATGGCTTGGGGCTGGCGACTGATTCTCTCAGAGCACTGGTGAGTGGTCAGTAACTCATTTACCTGCATCCTTTATCTTTCACATCTTCATTCAGCGATCCAGCGGCATCAAGAGATACGCAGTACCACAGCTACTCGATGCAGATGCCTGGTCAAGTCCATCAGTCAATCCCCTGCCATCGCCAATCCCCATCTGTCGCCAGGACGGGCATGGACCCAAGCACAGCCAACTTGCCCAAAATGCTGTTCATGAGCGAAGGAGCTGAAACCCGGCACATATGAGCGGTACATGGTTACATGATTGGAGACGTTACATTCCTGATTGGATGTGCTTGGAAATTATACCCGAACTGTCAGCCACAGGGTCCTTTTCCCCAGGGACCATTCGGCTTTCATTCAACATGCAGTGCGCCCTCTCATATATCCTATCTTTCCATCCGGTCCCGACATATGAGCTCGATGTAGAGCCTTCTTTTTTTCAAGCACAGATCGGCCTGGGGAATTCTTTGCAAGCAGTACGCCAAGGGCCCAAGGCAAAGGGCCGCTCACGACGAGTCTATTGGTTACAGCCAAGCTTAGGAAGTGTGTACCTGGGTTTACTTGGTGACATGCCTTCCTCGGTCCCGCGGGCCATGTCATTTGAGAGTTCAAAAGTAACAGTTGGACTTGACAGACTGCCGCGTTACGTCGTACCCGGGCTTGCCATCCGGTGTAATGGGTATATCAATATCAAGTTATCGCAAGTGACCGAATTCCTTATTCTTTGACAAGAAAGTTGGCGGTTACAGCTGTAGAACAGGGATCGGTCAGCCAACGCTCCGGGTAGAGCTTAGTCAAGGGAGTGCGCCAGGGAAAACCTCGAAACGATGACCGTTTTCGGCGCTTCGTGGATCAAACCGTGTCAAGGGCTGTCAGTGGTATCAGCTCAAGCAATTTGGACCCATCCAGGCGGAACCTTGATCACAGTTGTCTCAGACCGGGACGCTTTCAAACTACCCGCTGCCGCTGGCTGACAACCAAGCGTGGACCAAGCTAGCTAACATGGTCTAGTGACTAGTGAGAGCCTTGGTGCCTGGCGCTTCCGGAGCAGGTCGGCTAATGTGAAGCGGACTTAGTCAGTATCGTTAACGGAGTTCAATGCCGTCAACAGAGGCTCTTCCGGACGGCCTGGACTAATGAGCGGCGAGAACTGGGCGCCTCGGACCTACTATGCAATACTTCAGTTCCACCAGGTAAGCGAAGAAGGTATTGGCGGCTACATCATTATCATGATTACTCCACGAGATAGGTCCCCGATGTGGTCTACTAGTAACATTTGGTCCAGTGGATCTCGTACTCTACAGCCTTAGATGTCTCCATGGCAGCATATGAACTTCTAACCAGGGAAGTCAAGGCCGCAGCTTTTCTTGGGCTACACACCAAAGAAGTGTTATAACCTATCGCTCAAGTCCACCATGAAAGCTTGACTTGTAGGGACAGAAGAACCACAACATATTACCCTGGAAAGTTTCAATAGGCCATCCAAGGGCGCCGCTCATCATATCGAAGCTCCCTCCCTCCCATACTAACAATGATACGAAGCCAGCTGAAGCCAAGCTACAATGTCTGGTGATCACCGGCCGTAGCAGCTAAGAAGTTGGTACCTTTCCCATTCGCTTCCAAGGGAACATTAAGACCATCCAACCCCATCTCCAATCATAGTGAGAGAAATACCTATGTCATTGTTCTAACTTACCGTGACGGTACCTGAAGTCCAGACGACGACACAGGCGGCAGGTAGATGCCAAGACTGTCCTCTGGCCTATGACTTTAAACAATGCACGAACCGTTTTCGCCAGTGATGGTGGGGTGCTGAGGGGAATCTCCACCACGCTAGGCTGTTGGGGTGATTTGGAAATGATGTGCATATCCTCGCCTACCCCAAGCATGTAACTTCCCCTCCGGGAGTGCAACTCGTACGCGCACCAACTGCCCCTGAAGCAAAAGAATTAAACTCACTCACTGCACTTCAATAACACACAACAACAAGAGCTACCATACGCCAAAATCAAGTTTCAGGGTCACTAAGACGCGTCTTCCTGTCAACATGTGGCTCTGATATCTATAGTTGCCCAACATGGTACTTTCATCGCTGTAAGCCCGTACCAAGAACGAAAGCTGAGACGGCGCCCATCATCTCCAACCCACAACCCACTCTTTCGATGTCATGGCATTTTCTCGATACCAAGCATCGCGTCAGTGACATGAACTTGTTGCTTTTCCCCCTTCCCATCGATCGGTACAAGGTGGACGCCATCCTCATCTCCATCTCACTACACTCCTGCAGAAAACCCCCTGGCGTATCAGGACATGCAGTCAATGATGAATGGTACCTCCTTTTTCCGAGTTGCCCAACCCAAGCTCGAGCCAAGTTCCAACGCCAGATACCGCACTTGGTAAGCAGCACATTGCATCGCATCGCATATGGATCGCAGCAGATACCTGAAGCAAGCAAGCGGGTTGGCAGCAAATCAGGTCGATACCGATACTCCCACCCGCTCATCCCGTCATCTTACCATGGCAATCTGTATTCTCCCTGCCCCGGGATCCCGGGGTCCCTTTAGGTGCTGTTGCCCTCAAAGGACGCTGGAAAAAAGTTGAAGGGAGAGGTGAGGTCGTGCTGTGAGGTCTGCAAGGTTTCTTGTGAGGTCTCTGGTTTGCGCCTCACCCGAAGCTTCATCAAGCCATATCACTTCGCACACACAGCATCACCGTGTAGGGTCTGTCAAAGATACTGCAGCCTCGCCGAGCAAGTCCCCGTCCCGTCGTCGATCCCAGCTTCACTTTGAATCCAATTTCTCGACCTCGCTTAAGACCCTTTCCATCACAGACACAAGGCAAACAAACAAGCAACTCAAGTGAGCGAGCCTCGCACCCTCTTTGCCATCCATCCATTCATCTATCAGTCTCGGCAGGACAACAGAACCAGGATGGTTTCAGAGCTCAGGTGGTCTGGCTGTGGTGCCTTGCATTAGAGGTACCCATCCTGTCGCCTCCGTGACCCCATTCCCACCTCGTCTTCTCAAGTGGAAGCGGGACTCTTACGGGAGCAGGCACTTGACGGGTTATGAGAACCACGGCTCGCTCGCCCTCCTTGCAGTTGGCTATCGTAAATAAAGAAGCCATATCCTTGTCGCCACAGCCCCTGTACACTAAGCCTCTCGAGGGTGTCGAACGGCTCTCTAGGTTCTCCACCGAGTCCACTGCTGCTCCCGACATCCCGCAGGTGTTTCTGTTTCTCGCGGCGCTCCGTGTTTAGCTTCTAGTGTTTAGCTTCACAGCAAAAGCTCGACATCGAGAATCCAGATTTGTCCAGACCACCACCCACCACCACCCGGGAGACAACGCGGACTCGGAGTGGAAGAGAAGCGCTCAACATACCCATCCCATGATGCATCCGCCTTAGATTTGCACAGGGCATCGCGCTTGCTTCATCAATCAGGTCTCGGAGACATCCATGCCCCGTCTCACACTGGCTATCCGGACACTGTCCAGACTATCTTCCGAGCGCTGCTTGGTGATTGGCTTTTGTGATCTCCCCCGCGATGACGGCGACGAGACCCGTCTTCAGATCTCCCACCCATGCCCGACTTCAATCCCATCATGCACATCACTTCGGCCTTTGCAATTGCCCATCCTCTAGCAAAAACAGTATCCCACAGAAAGTACTGGGGATCTTTTCTTTTTTCCCTCCTTCTCCGAGCGCATCTCAGCTGCAGCCAAGGGGGCGTACCTTGCTTGCGATGGAGACGGTGGATGGAGATGGGTACAGTCATAGTACACACTGACTCCCGCGTCACTCCGTCGCCTACTCCCGGTGCTCGTCGTGGTTTGGTTGCCCTGAACGGGACATCTTTCCTCGACCCCTGTTTTGTTGTTTTTCCGGTACACAGTCCACACAGGTTTTCAATTATCCTACCCCCATAATGGTACATGCACATCATGCGGCTTGGGACCTCCTACAGCGACCGAGTGGGTATGTAGCTGAGAAATGTTCCCGAGGTTGATCAAGGATGCAATGGTCCAGGTCCGCATCTACCTACCTACCCCATACGGGGCTATATAACATCTTAGTTCCCGCTTCAGAAAGCTTAAACTTCCGTCCCGTTATTCCCTTCAGTTCACCAAGTTGTTTCACCCTCTACCAAGACGAACCTGCCCCTTCACAAGCTCCATCATTCCATACCATCCGTTGTCAGTGTGAACTATACACGGAGGTCGATATTGATCGAACAACATTCCAGCCAGTTGGTGTTATAGATGATTCAACTTGACGCCTACACCAAGACGAGACGATAAGACATCATCAACAGTTTGACGAGCAAGCCGTTTGGGTTACCATATCGCTTCTCGTTGACACATTCATACCTACTTCACTCCGCCCACCCTCACCTGACCACCGACAATCACCGTTGCCAAACATGGCTTTCCCTCAACCAGGCGGTCCGACTTTTCGTCACGCACAGGTACATGGTGTTTTCTCCTTCCCACGACCGGCTTCCAACGCTCGTCCGAAAGTTAACACGCCCGCGCAGTCCTTTGCGGATGCCCAGTCCCAGTTCGACATCCTCGAGTGGCATCCCTATTTCATGTCCTGCATGCGATACTTCCTGGACCACGCCCAGTACCATGGCCCCGTGCAGGCTCTTGCCGGATTCATCAACATCCGACTACCTTTCCAGAAGCCCAACCCGGTACTATCTTCACAGACAGTCCGTCCACCACCGGAATTAGAGGCCTCTTGCCGGGGAACAGGAGGGAAGGCTCCCGTGGGTGGCTACGGTCTTCAGTCGTACGCGAGTGTCAACTTGATTCCCTATATCCGCCGTCTGGTGGCTACGGGGTATGACTTCCCGGGTGTTTTGCACGGCTTTTTCGGAGACGACTGGGAGGCTGGTGTGGGGCAACTACACGAGAACGAGCGACGGAACTACCTTTTTGCGGCCAAGAGCTCCAACTGGCTCAAGGTCAAGGCGGCTTACGACATGAACGAGGAAGAGACCATACCGTTCCTCAAACCTTTGCGCGATGCGACCGAACGAGAAATTGTCATGGCTGAGAGAAGCTGGAGCGAGTGGTTGGCGATGCAGGACTGGATGCTGGGACCACGCGCACCGGAAATGCAGCAAGCGAACGGCAATGGCAATAGCAATGGCAATGGGAATGGGAATGGGAATGGCAACAACGTCAATGGAGGGCGGATGCAGGGTATTAAAAGGGAAGGTGACTGAAAAGGGTTCAACCCAGGAGTTTTGGATGGCGAATTGGGAACGGGAAGGAAAAGGTTAATAGGTTGGATATGTGGGTTCCATCTGGTTGTTGAACTGTTGACATTCCCTTGTACAACTTTCCTACGGGCCATATCTATCATGTTTCTAAACGATTTTCAATGGCCTTGTATCATAGCTCTGAGAAAAGAAGGGTGAGTGTGCTGTCCAGGCAGGTCAGAACGTCAACCTCCTCAAGTTGACCTCCGAACCAGCAGGTGGCACATACACGGGGTGGAAAAAAAAGATACCGGAATTTGAAATGAAAATGTGATGACATATTCCCGGCTCTTTCATGGTAATCGTTGTTGAGGGAGAACTTCTCGTATCGATTGCTATTCCCAACCTAGGACAGGACCCTTAAATCACTAATGTCGACTGCAATTATCGAAAAAACATGGGCGATGAACGAGACCTCCACTGTCAAATGTTTCAGTGTCTCCGTGTATATATACCGTACGAATATCGGCCGGTAGTGGCGGTACGTCCACGATATTTTTGATACTGTGAATATGAAGAGAACGAAGATGATGCACCAGTACAGTGCAAGACCGGAGTGCCGAGAGACGGAGACAGCTTGGAGTGCAGACCTCATAATGGCTCGAGCTTTGGGTCTTTCTCCACATCAACTGCTGTGTGGGTCTTCGGCTCGTGCCGACCTACGGTGATAACGGAAGGTTGGCCTTGTAATCGCCCGGGTACGATACCTTACAGCATATTGGTAAGAAACATGAAAGATTATATGCTTTGTTTCGTTTCTAGTCCGTAACTTTCACATCAGTTCAGTTTGCTTGCATTCAGACCGGCGCGCTGTGCAGGTGGTGCAACCCTGGCTTAAGTTGCTTTACACTTCACCACCATTAACACCTTTTCATCTTTTGCTTTCAACCTTCTTGCTCTCCCCGTCCACTTGTCACTCGAACAATAGAATCCGGACTCGAACGCTTCACCGAGTACGGCAGCTGTATACTACGAATATCATCAACGGATCCATCATATTTTTCCAACCTCGAACCATACGCGCCCACCGGAGACAAGGCAACGCGCTACCTCTACTTGTAGGTACCTGCTACGCTCCGCTCAAAAGGCATTCACGGAGCCGAACCCACAGCATCCGGAACTAAAGTCCTAACGAAGCGCCCCTGTCAGTCCTCTGGAAACTGGTTGTTGCCAAGTCAAGTGGAAAGGGCGGGACCAACAGCTGCGTCGACCACATGCTCGAAAGCTGACCCTGACAAGCGCATCATCGGACATTGGTCGCGACGCAACAACGTCAGCTACCAAACACCAACCACCTTGAAAATGACCACAGCCCCGATATAGTACGCGCCCGATTTTTGCTACTCTACTACCTACTATCACTATCTCGTCGACAATACCGGTCTCGGATGCCCCCACCATGCCCCGAGGTCCAGCGACGGCAGGCTTGTCGGCGGCCGTGGGACAATGGACCAAGTTCCTGGGGCGCGCCGAAGCCAAACGACTAGACCCAAGCGACTTTGCGAGATTCGTGCCCATTCTTAGCTCGGATTTTTATCCATTGCCTCCCATCGTTATTGCCAACCTTCTCCTCAAGCCGACGAAGCAGTCGTCCTATTCTCTCGACCCCCGCCGACTACAATATCTCACCATCCTCCTCAATCAAAAGCTCGTCAACATCCAGTCCGTCCTGAAGGTTCTACACCAGTACTCGACATCGCACGCCAAGATTCAGAGTCAACACCATGCGGACGCCACACACGAGGCCGCGACGGCCAATAAGGGAGACCAGGGGCAACAAGGAGACAAGAAGCCGAAGCGGGTGTTCTGGCAGAACTCATTCAACGACGAGGAGGTCATCTTTTTGCAACTTTCCAAGGTCATCACGCATGGTCAAGGCATCAGGCATGCCTCCGACGCCTACGAGATGGCCGCGAACCTAAGCAAGTGGATAACGCTCTACATCGACGTCATCGCCGCCTTTTCACGAGATACGTTTGGCAATATTCAGAATATGCGGACGAGGCAGGATATGGAAAACTCTCTTCAGGCTTTCAGTTTGCTTTTGGTTCACTTCTTGGGCAATCAACGGGTGGTTTCTGCCTTTAGCCGGCCCGATGCCAAAGGTAACGCCTTTTCTGTGCCATGCTTCCTTGTTCTGTGGACAGAGCACTTGGCTAATGACTTTCTTCTCACCAGGCCATCGCAAACGATTAGCGGCCTCTATCGATCAGCTTATACCCTATATCCTTCAGAATCCGAATACCTCTGGAATTGCGGTGAAATTGGAGTTCAGCAGAGGGCAGACACTGGCCGGGGAAGAGTCTTCCGACCTGAAGGACGCTGCGGTAGCGGAGATGCATAGCTACATGGATAACATGATCGGGCTGGACGCATGGCAAATACCCGACATTCCGCTGGTTAACTCTCGTGCTGGCCTATACATATACATCAATGCTGCGGTATGTTCGACGGCTGGTTATGGTGATCCGGAGTGGATTGGAGGGTCCGAGTTGCTGACGCCCATATAGCTCGTAGGACGACCTTTGATAGATGATCATTCTCTTTACACCTACCTACACAACAGATACCAGGTTTGTCCTCTCATTCCAATCTGACGCCCTCTGTGTTTTTGCTGACAAAAAGGTTCAGGGTGACTTACAAACGACAGCAATACACCTCATCCTAGCATCCTTCGATGTCTTGGCGAACGCCGTCTTCAGATACGAAGGATCAAAAACAGGACATTTGCTCAAATCATACGTCGTCAACAAGGTTCCCCTAATATTGGGTAACTTTGCCGCTTCTTCTTCACCCATGTACCCGTTCGACGCGGAGTTTTGCATATCCCAGGCGCTGGGTCAAGTCGACACCAATGTGTTCCCGACATTGTCCAATATGTTTGACATGTCGAACACTAGCAGCTCCTTTCAGGACTCGGTACGACAAGACTTTTGTTTTGCCTGTCAGTTGCACGGGCTCTTGTCTTCGTCGGCTATCGAGACCCTTTTGGGCGAAATTACATATCAAACACTGCCGGACGAGGGTCGATACGTGAAAGAGACGCTTGTCCAGGCGTGTTTGGGAGACTTCGAGAGAAGTCAAAAGCTCATCGGGGAATTGGACAACATGAACGGAAACGTGGGCGCCGCTGCGCAAGCGATTGTTGAGGTTGGTCGAGATTCAGTAAAAAAACGAAAATTCTGTCGGTGGTGGCTGCTAACATGAACCAACAGGTGATCGGTACACTCTGCCGGAACAAGGAGACCATGACTCTCAAGCAACTGTGCAGCCGTCTGGCCAGCAAACCGTCATCTTTGGATATTCTACTGCTCTTCGACAAGCCGTACAAAATTCTTCATCCTCTATGCGAGCTCTTGGACAACTGGGGCGGGTACGACGAGGATCAGGGCGAGTATCAGCCTGTCTACGAAGAGTTTGGCTCTATCTTGCTTCTACTATTGGCCTTTGTGCACCGCTACAGTTTGACGCCTACTGATTTGGCCATCCGGTCTCCGGATTCATTCGTGGGAAAGCTGCTAGGAAGGGGCTCGTTGAGTCGCCCTTTAGACGAGCTCAGCGAGCAGGAAAAGTCGCACCTAAATGGTTGGGTACATGGACTATTTGATTCCGAGGCTGGCGGTTTAGGAGACGACCTTATGTCGTCGTGTCCTCCGCAAGACTTCTATCTACTCATGCCGACGCTTTTTGATCAGATCGTCATGGCTTTGAGTACAGGCTGCTTGAACGAGTACCTGTTAAGGAGTGGTCTAGAATGCAAGTATCAACTCTCTTGTCCTCATCATTATGGCTCTCTGACTAACCGTCTCCTAGATCTCTTGGATACCCTGTTGTTACCTTCACTGGTGCCAGCACTCTTGTTCCTTGCAAACAACCTGCGAACCGATAAGCAGGCCGGTCAAGCAGCAGTCATCAAGATTCTTCAGCTCACTTTGCGTCCTAACTCGATTTCGAATGAAGCATCTATCATGCTCTCATCGGTCCTGAACATCGTCGCCAAGCCCCTAGAACTCTCACTCCGCTCCTACCAGCGTCAGGTTCCCGCCTCCCAACAGGTCGAGCCTCTCTTGCGCGCTCTTAAGGAGAACCTGGCCGTGTCTGGCCGAACCGGTGGCGCCGACCACAGCGAGCTGGAGAACTGGACCGGCACGCACCACAACGGGTCCGGGTCAGTCGGGGGTCTTTACGGCGCCATCCGCCACACCGTCCAAAATCTAGTCCAATGGGCTCAGAACTCCCCCGGCAACGGCGTGCCCACCACATACACCCACCGCCAGATCCTCGTCGCCCTCCAGATCTGCGGTGCCAAACGCGTCCTTTCCGCCCTGCTTAAGGAACTGAAAGTGCAAACAGAAGCCGGCAACGGTCCCGTCGCCTACGACGTCGTCACCGCCATCATCTGCGCTCCCGACGTCCACAACAGTCCCGTAATGGACGACGACCCCGCCTCTACCAGAGGAGCAGATGCGAACCACAACCACACGGTCCAGAGAAAACAACGAAGAATCACCCTCCGCGAAGCCCTCAAGTTCGAAGCGGAAGATTTCAAGAAGATACAGAAATCTGACCCCCTAATGGCCGAGACGGTCGTGCGCCTACATCGTCGCGTCGAGGCCCAGATGACTCTCCCTCCCCCGCCTCCGCCGCCCGCGCAGCATCTTCACCATCACCAGCAAGCGATGCTGCAGCCGGAGCTGAGCGCGTTGGGCGTGGTGGCTGGTGATACCATGGGTGATTCGATGATGAATGCGGCGGCGGTGGCGGTGTCGAGCGGTGACCATCACCAATCGGTGGACGCGATGAGTTTGGATGCTGCCGGCATGGGTGTGGGTGGGTTGGATGTGGGAGGAGCGGGTGGCATGGATTTGAGTGGGATGGGGGATATGGGTATGGGTGGTATGGGTGGGTTGATGGTGAATACCAACACTGGGGGTAGTGTAACGGGTATTCAGAGTGGAGGTGGTGCAGCAGGAGGAGGACGTGGAGGTGCAGGAGGTGCCGGTGCCGGTACCGCCGGCAATGTAGGAGGAGGTGCTGGCGGCGGAGCGGGTGGAGGCAGTGGTGCCGGTGGTGCGGGAGGAGACCTGAGTGGTGATGATATCTTTAGCGGATTGGGAACAGGGGACTTTACGACGGATTTTGGGAACTGGGATACGATGGAATTGGGGTAGTATCCACAACCTTGACGTCAAAGACGGATGGAATTCGAATTGCTTGCACACGTAGGGTCGTGGACGGACGAGGACGTTTTACCGCATGGGGGGGCTTTATTTAGGAATCGCGCAGCGCATTTGGAGATGGCCAGAACTTGGGCGAGGGGGAATCTGGAAGTCATGAATCAAAAGAGTTGGCGTTAGTAGTGAAGAGCATGGATTGTGTTGGTGGTCGTCGCCAAAAGACGTAATTGTTTGTGGAGAGGTGAAGCGCCGAGTTTTTGATGACTACATGAGATTGCCTGCCGCAGACGTCGAAGCAGATGCGGAGAAGCATGAGGTTGAAGAAATCATTATTCCAGAGAACAAGTAGAGTTAGAAAGTTGCGTCGTAGCTTTTCGGCGAATATTCTCTGATATAGGAAATCAAAAGCCGACGACGTCTGGTGTCTGAAAGAACCTCTCTGAATGCGTCAAACGAATAAAATAACAGGCCACTTGTAGCGAAGGGTAAAAAAAATTGCAAAAAAGAAATGATCGCGGCAGGGCTCGAACCTGCGATCCTCTGCGTTATCGTACTTGTAAAGCAGATGCCTTAACCACTGGGCCACGCAACCATCGATATCTATTAGCCTTATGCAGCAAACTTATTAGGTTCATTCGCCATGAATCTGGGCACTTTTGGGGTGGAGGTGGGAATACACTACCGTTCATCATCCAATGAGGGTGGGAAACGTGGAGCTAGTGGTTGTGAGTAGTGGTTAGTGGTGAGCCCCTGAGTGGAAGTAAACAAATGCGTGCTGGGGCATGCTGTGTACTGATAGTACAAGTTAAGGAATTTATGGTCAAGAATATTCTACGGTAGTTGTCGTCAAGGGATGAATGTGATATGTTCCGACACCCATTACCCCTAGAAACTGTCGCTTGATGAGCGGGCGGACCATTCTTGGGCCACCAAACTGGTGTCACTTTAAAAGGTCTGGAGACAGCCCCTTGGAAGTTAATTAGAATAAGAACATACTTAATTATGATACCCAAACTTCTACCATCTTGTTTTCTCAACACCCCTTACGTTACCTTCTTCCTCATCGAAGGCCTCCACTTTGCATACGGATGTTCCTCCTCAACCGTCTCCGGCACCAGGTGATCAACCGCCCTAGTATTAAGCAGTCCCGGATGCACCTGATCCAGACTCGTAATCCCACACATCTTCATCGTCGTCTCCAACTCATCATTCAAGATCTCCACATACCTCCTCACCCCTTCCTCGCCATATCCAAGCCCATACAAGATCCCCCTCCCAATCCCCACGCCACTAGCCCCCAAACACAAGGCCTTGAACACATCCGTCCCGCGCATCACCCCTCCATCAATCAACACCTCCATCCTCTCAAACACCTGCGGACAACACCTCTGCAGCTCCAACAGCACCAAAATCGTCGGCGTCGCCGTATCCAGACTCCTGCCCCCATGATTCGAAACCACGATCCCCTCCACGCCCGCCTCCATGGCCCTCACCGCGTCCGCCGCCGTCTGCACCCCCTTTAACACAATCTTCACCCCACTCTCCCTCGGCAAACACCTTCTCAACCAGGCAATATCTTCCCAGTTTACGCTCGCATCCAGAAACTTGCCCGTGATCCTCCCCAACCCGCCGCCAAACTTGTCGTTCTCCGCCTTTTCCCCCGTCATCGGCACCACCACTCCTCCTGTCCCTGATAAAAGACCGACCGCTTCGCTGGCAGAGATCCTCTCGTCCGCCTCCCGTTTCCCGGGCACAGGCGCGTCGACAGTCAAGAAAACGGCTTTGACACCGCCAGCTTCGCAAGCTTGTGTTAGGAGCTGCTCGGATTTGGTCCGGTCTTTGTCGACGTAGAGCTGGAACCACAATGGAATCTCTCCTCCACCCTCCTCATCGTTCCCCTCAACCCCAGCCTCTCGCACCGCAGCTGCTATTTCTGCAACACTAAAACTAGCACTAGTACTAACCGTCATGCCCACGCCCAACCTTTTGCACGCCCTCCCAATCTCCTTTTCTCCCTCGGGATGAACCGTTATTCCGAGAGAAGTAGCGGCGGCGAAAATGGGCGAGGAGACGGGTGACCCGAGGATCGAAGTGCGGATGGAGACGCGGGAGACGTCGCGCAGGATACGAGGGCGGAGGGTTATGAGGCTGTAGGTGGCGGAGTTGGAGCGGTGCGTGACGAGGCCGGTGGCGGCGGAGGTGACGAAGGCGTGGGTTTTGGGAGGGAAGGTGAGGGACGCGGCGTGGGCGAAGTCGTGGGTTGAGAGGAGGGTGTGGAGGGGGGGTTTTTGGATTTGGGAGGGGAGGTGGTGAGGGGTTGTCCCCGTGGTGGTTGTTTCTGTAGGAGGAATCGTCATTTTGTTTATGTGATGGTGATGGTAATGGTTGAAGATGGTGACGGTGCAGAGGGGAGGGGAGGGAGGGGCAGAGGAAGGAGAAGGAACAAGACAGCCAGCCTGGGTTTAAAGCCATTTGGGTCTCGGGGTCTTGTAGCGAGACAAGACCGAGGTTGATGGTGATCAACATTGGGCCAAAACATAAGAAAGACGAGAAGAGATAAACTCGGGGGAATTGGCCCCGAGCTCACATACCTTAAACGGCCGGGATCCACCAGTGTCCCCCGCCCCGGAAGGAGTGGGGGTTGTTCGCCGGCACTGGGAAGTGGTCAATATTTTTGTAAGGCCCCTGGCAGTCCCCGGCGATGATGCCATTCCGCCTGAAGCAAATTGTGTCGGGTGGTACACAGGATGCATTACAGTCAGGACATCGAGCATTCCCGTCTACACGCGCATTGTCAGTAATTATAGATTTTTAGGTGGCAGTGCTTGATTTTTCTCCTTTTAAACCCAATGAGTTAGGAATCGTGCAATGAAATCAGCCCTCGTGCACAGACCATTAGTATCCCCATATAAAAGGCTTCCTCCCTCCCCCAAATTCCGTATTCATAGCGCTGCAACCCCCTCCAGCCTCTCACCTCCATCTCCCGCTCTCAACTTCACAACCTTGGGCAAACATGTGATATAAAGTGTTGTCCACCGTTGAACCCTCCACGTGACGATTCATTCCTTTTTTTTTTTTTTTTAATTTTTTTCATGTGACTTCCATCCCTAAACCCCCAAAGCCTTCTCGATCAGGATCTTAGCCCGTTCGCTCAAGTGCATCTGGAGGGCCAGCGCATGACCGGACGGGCTCATCTTGCCCCAAGTCTTTCTCAAAATGCCCACCATCTTCTCCTCGTCGATATCCGGCCGCTTCTCAAAGTCGTCAAACTGCTCGTCCAGGAACACCAGGCAGGCCACATCCTCCAGCACCTGCGTGTCGCTATCGGTCTTGAGATCCTCCTTCCTCACCAGGGCGGCCACCCGGTCGATCTCCTCCTGGCTCAGCGGAGGCTGGATGGAAGCGTCGCCGAGCAGCTCGGCCACCTGCTTGGCCGCTTGCGACTTGAGCTTGGCGCGCCAGGTGAGATATCCCGGCCGAGTCATGGGGTAGCTGCTTCGCGGGATTTCCCATCTGTTTGTTTGTGTTGTTAGGTTATACATACATACATATCAGGATTTGATGAACACAAACCGTCGGAAATGCTGAGCCCGGCATGCAAGCTGCAAAACGGGCGATGCTCCTGGTTCCCGCAACGCCAGCCATCGTGTCATGTGTCGGGCATAATCAAGCTCGAACGGCACAGAGCCGGACTCCCTCTCGACCGATCTCGGATCCTGGGCGTGTGCCTCGTCGATAAGCTTGAGGGCTTGGTGGTAGTTGGCGGGAAGGGGGTTAATTTCTTCCATGGTGGTGAGTGCGGTCTCTTGCCTTCGAAAAGACCTGTATGTATAATGTTGATGCTGACGTGTGTGATAATGACAGGGAAAGAAAAAAAAAGGTTCAAAAAGATGTATGAACAGACAAGAGGCCAAGTCACAAGGAACATGAATAGCAAAGGTATGAGTCCCAGCCAGCTGAATGTTGATCCTTTCAGGGTCCCTCCCTTTCCATATGAGTGGATATCTTTCCAGGGGGAGGGGACAATGGGGGCCACACCAGATGAGTCAGCAGAGATAAGAGCACGGAAGACCCCCGTTCGGAATCCGGAATGCGGCTTACACCTTTCCCAACGCCATCCCATAGTTTGCGTGTGCAGCCTTATAACAACGACAGCCATTTTCTTCTTCAACCTTTCATGTTTCGATGTAGCTCGTTGAAATCTGGAAGTCGGATTCTTGAGCAATTCCTTCCAGATTCTTGTTTGGGTTCATCTTTATTGGCCTTTGCGTGGGGACGGATATCTTGACCGGTGGTTTGTCCAGGATGACATGGGATGAAAGTCGTTCGGGCCTGGGACGTCGTGAGGACGACACTGGACAACGCCTGTTTCCATGGCAACCTGCGAACTGGCAAGTTCGCGACCTTTGAGTATTCACCTGCAATTTATCTGCATCCTTCACCTTCCATCAATTGCGACCAAGCGGGCGAACATCGGCACTGCAAGGCAGTTGAAAGCCGCGCTTCCCAAGCAAACTGGCACCGATTTTGTGACCTGAGAGCACCGTCTCCCACGCAGCACTTTTGAAATCGCGCGGCATTCTGATTTTCCTCTGCTCATTACCCCTCCTTCTCAAAACTGCATCCAAACCATCATCCGACAAGCTGGTCAATTCATTTTCGATCAAACACCACAAGTCTGGTACCCCGTATTGTTTCCCCCATCCTCTAACCATCGCTGACAAGTGCTCAGCCTTTTCTACTCGCAAACAATCTTACTCTCACCTTGCAATCAAGTCTAGCGACACTCACAAATCTCCCCCCATCTTTCCTCAAGATGGCTCCGTCCGGCCAGAAGAAGGGCAAAGAAGTTGACCGGTCACCTGCGAGCATCTTGAAGCATGGCGACTACACAGTCTCCCTGACTAGCTGGCTTGCTGGCGGTCCCGCAGTCGTCGGCAAGAAGCCTCGTCGGGTGCTCGACCTCAAAGTTGAGCGCGATCGCAAGTCTGAAAAGTCGGATCAATCTTTGGTCCTGGCCAGCAAGAAGGACAACACCTCCGATATGGACGTTGGCACTTCAGGAGATGAAAGATCTCTGACGCACACCTCAAGGCAAAGTCGCCAAACTGAAGGATCATCCCAGCGACTTCTGAAGTCGAAGCCATTCCTCACGTACGAGGAAAAGAGAGTCGAAAAGTTTACCATTCGACCTCCGCCTCTGATCTTCAACAACCCTGAAGACATTCCAACTGGCTGGCTCGAAGCAATGTTGGACCGGAGAAAGAATGGCGAAAGCTCAAAGGCTGTTTCGAAGAAGGCTATCGGTTATGAACACAGCGACTCGGACGATTACGAAGCTGGCTACGAGTCTCCCCACAGCAAATCAAAGTCATTGTCAAAGAAGTCGTCCTCCTCCAGGAAAGCATCGGAAATTCGAATCAAAACCAAGTCGTCATCTAAGAAGGGCACTCGCAAAGTCGAAGTCACAACTGCTGATACAACAGACGATTCGTCATCTGATGTCGAGTCACACCGCCCAACGAAGACGAAGAAGCTCGACCACCGGAGCAAGATCAAAGAGACGACCAAGACGAAGAAGATACACGTCGAGTCCTCTGGCGAGGAGACAGATGACACCACAGCAGATTCCGAGTCATCAGATGCTGAGTCAACCAGTATCGAGCTACGTTCCAAATCGAAAGCGAAGAACAAACCCAGCGCTTCATCGAACAAAGCAGGAAGTCCCAAGGTCAGGATCGAGACACGGGACAAAAAGGGCAAGGGAAAAGTCATAGTGGAAGGTTCAAGTGAAGACGAAGTCTCATTGGATGAGTCAACGTCAGAATTCGAGCCGTCTCCCCCAAAGAAAGTCAAGAACAAGAACCGTGTTACCGTTACCGAGACCACTCGAAAGGGCAAAAAGAAGACTGTCACAGTTGAATCATCCGATGAAGCCGACACGACGCACATCAACTCACGTTCTTCCACGAAGGGCAAGAAGTCTGCAGTTCATGTCAAGGCCAACGGCAAAACGAAGACTAAGAAGGTTACATTCGAGACTACCGATGAAGCTGAGATTACTGAGGACGCCACAACGGATGCTGAGCCTACGCCGGCGAAGGCGGGCAAGGTCAAGGGCAAGAACAACAAGACCAAGGCAACCGAGAAAGCAAAGTCCAAAGCGAAGAAGGTCGAAGTCGAATCATCTGATGCGGCAGAGACGACCGAAGCCGAAACGACCGAAGCCGCGACCACCGAAGCCGAGACCACCGACGCGGAGACGACCGTCGCCGAAAAGCCCAAAGCAACTCCAGCAGCGGGCAAGGCCGACGACGCCTGGACGCCTTCCCAAGATGCCATGCTTCTCGGCATGAAGGAAGGCGGCGAATCATGGGTCAACATTGGCAAAGCCATCGGCCGGAACAAGAAGGAGGTCATCAAACGACACCAGGAGCTCGTTCGCACTGGCGTTGCTCAGGTCGGTAAGGGCAATCACGACAAGAACAATAACAAGAAGGGAAAGAACAAGGAGAGCAAGAACAACGATAAGAACGATGCCAGTTCTAACCAGACCCCTGCTGCGGACGAGACCTTTGGCTTTGGAGACTTCGCTGGCTTTGGCGGTGATCAAGACGATACCAACAATGACACCAATAATGACAATAACAACAATGGTGATGCTTGGGGTGGAGGTGGTGATCAGAATAACGGCAACAATGGTGACACCACCAACAACAACAACAACA